CTATAGAACAGTCTATAGTCTGACTATAGAACAGTCTATTAGTCTGGACTATAGAACAGTCTATAGTCTGGACTATAGAACAGTCTATAGTCTGGACTATAGAACAGTCTATAGTCTTGGACTATAGAACAGTCTATAGTCTGGACTATAGAACAGTCTATAGTCTGGACTATAGAACAGTCTATAGTCTGGACTATAGAACAGTCTATAGTCTGGACTATAGAACAGTCTATAGTCTGGACTATAGAACAGTCTATAGTTTGGACTATAGAATAGTCTATAGTCTGGACTATAGAATAGTCTATAGTCTGGACTATAGACCAGTCTATAGTCTGGACTATAGACCAGTCTATATTGTGGAACAGTCTATAGTCTGGACTATAGAACAGTTTATAGTCTGCACTAGAGAACAGTGTATAGTCTGCACTAAAGAACAGTCTGGACTATAGAACAGTCTACAGTCTGGACTATAGAACAGTCTATAGTCTGGAATATAGAACAGTCTACAGTGTGGACTATAGAACAGTCTATAGTGTGGACTATAGAACAGTCTATATTGTGGACTACAGAACAGTCTATAATCTGGACTATGGAACAGTCTATAGTCTGGACTATAGAACAGTCTATAGTCTGGACTATAGAACAGTCTATAGTCTGGATTATAGAACTGTCTATAGTCTGGGCTATAGAACAGTCTATAGTCTGGACTATAGAACAGTCTATAGTCTGAACTATAGAACAGTCTACAGTCTGAACTTTAGAACAGTCTATAGTCTGGACTATAGAACAGTCTATAGCCTGGACTACAGAACAGTGTGTGGACTATAGAACAGTCTATAGTGTGGACTATAGAACGTCTATATTGTGGACTACAGAACAGTCTATAGTCTGGACTATAGAACAGTTATAGTCTGGACTATAACAGTCCATAGTCTGGACTATAGAACAGTCTATAGTCTGGACTATGAAACAGTCTATAGACTGGACTATAGAACAGTCTATAGTCTGGACTATAGAACAGTCTATAGTCTGGGACTATAGAACAGTTGTAGTCTGGACTATAGAACAGTTATAGTCTGGACTATTAGAAACAGTCTATAGTCTGGACTTTAGAACAGTCTATAGTCTGAACATATAGAACAGTCTATAGGCTGGACTATAGAACATTCTATAGTCTGGACTATAGAAACAGTCTATAAGTCTAGGGACTATAGAACAGTCTATCGTCTGGACTATATGAACCGGTCTATAGTCTGGACTATAGTAACAGGTCTATAGTCTGGGACTATAGAACAGTCTATAGTCTGGACTATAGAACAGTCTATAGTCTGGACTATAGAACAGTCTATAGTCTGGACTATAGAACAGTCTATAGTCTGGACTATAGAACAGTCTATAGTCTGACTATAGAACAGTCTATAGTCTGGACTATAGAACAGTCTATAGTCTGGACTATAGAACAGTCTATAGTCTGGACTATAGAACAGTCTATAGTCTGGACTATAGAACAGTCTATAGTCTGGACTATAGAACAGTCTATAGTCTGGACTATAGAACAGTCTATAGTCTGGACTATAGAACAGTCTATAGTCTGGACTATAGAACAGTCTATAGTCTGGACTATAGAACAGTCTATAGTCTGGACTATAGAACAGTCTATAGTCTGGACTATAGAACAGTCTATAGTCTGGACTATAGAACAGTCTATAGTCTGGACTATAGAACAGTCTATAGTCTGGACTATAGAACAGTCTATAGTCTGGACTATAGAACAGTCTATAGTCTGGACTATAGAACAGTCTATAGTCTGGACTATAGAACAGTCTATAGTCTGGACTATAGAACAGTCTATAGTCTGGACTATAGAACAGTCTATAGTCAGACTATAGAACAGTCTATAGTCTGGACTATAGAACAGTCTATAGTCTGGACTATAGAACAGTCTATAGTCGGACTATAGAACAGTCTATAGTCTGGACTATAGAACAGTCTATAGTCTGGACTATAGAACAGTCTATAGTCGGACTATAGACAGTCTATAGTCAGACTATAGACTGTCTATAGTCAGACTATAGACTGTCTATAGTCCAGACTATAGACTGTTCTATAGTCCAGACTATAGACTGTTCTATAGTCAGACTATAGACTGTTCTATAGTCAGACTATAGACTGTTCTATAGTCTGGACTATAGAGTTCTATAGTCCAGACTATAGACTGTTCTATAGTCCAGGACTATAGACTGTCTATAGTCCAGACTATAGACTGTTCTATAGTCCAGACTATAGACTGTTCTATAGTCCAGACTATAGACTGTTCTATAGTCCAGACTATAGACTGTTCTATAGTCCAGACTATAGACTGTTCTATAGTCCAGACTATAGATGTTCTATAGTCCAGACTATAGACTGTTCTATAGTCCAGACTATAGACTGTTCTATAGTCCAGACTATAGACTGTTCTATTAGTCCAGGACTATAGACTGTTCTATAGTCCAGACTATAGACTGTTCTATAGTCCAGACTATAGACTGTTCTATAGTCCAGACTGATAGGACTGTTCTATAGTCCACAGACTATAGGGACTGTTCTATAGTCACAGACTATAGACTGTTCTATAGTCTCAGACTTATAGACTGTTCTATAGTCCAGACTATCGACTTGTTCTAGTTAGTCCCAGACTATAGACCTGTTTCTATGTCCAGACTATAGACTGTTCTATAGTCCAGACTATAGACTGTTGCTATAGTCCTAGACTATAGACTGTTTCTATAGTCCAGACTAGAGACTGTTCTATAGGTCCTAGATATAGACTGTTCTATGAGTCTCGAGACTAACTGTTCATAGTCCTATTTCGATGAGTCCAGACTATATACTGTTCTATAGTCCACTATAGACTGTTCTATAGTCCAGACTATAGAATGTTCTATAGTCCTAGGCCTATAGACTGGTCTATTAGTTCAGACTATAGACTGTTCTAAAGTCCAGACTATAGACTGTTCTATAGTCCAGACTATAACTGTTCTATAGTCCAGACTACAAAACTGTTCTATAGTCCAGACTATAGACTGTTCTATAGTCCAGACTATAGACTGTTCTATAGTCCTAGTCTATAGACTGTTCTATAGTCCAGACTATAGACTGTTCTATAGTCCAGACTATGGACTGTTATAGTCCAGACTATAACTGTTCTATAGTCCAGACTATAGACTGTTCTGTAGTCCACAATATAGACTGTTCTATAGTCCACACTATAGACTGTTCTATAGTCCACACACTGTTCTGTAGTCCAGGCTATAGACTGTTCTATAGTCCAGACTATAGACTGTTCTAAAGTTCAGACTGTAGACTGTTCTATAGTTCAGACTATAGACTGTTCTATAGTCCAGACTATAGACTGTTCTATAGCCCAGACTATAGACAGTTCTATAATCCAGACTATAGACTGTTCTATAGTCCAGACTATAGACTGTTCTATAGTCCAGACTATAGACTGTTCCATAGTCCAGATTATAGACTGTTCTGTAGTCCACAATATAGACTGTTCTATAGTCCACACTATAGACTGTTCTATAGTCCACACTGTAGACTGTTCTATATTCCAGACTATAGACTGTTCTATAGTCCAGACTGTAGACTGTCTATAGTCCAGACTGTTCTTTAGTGCAGACTATACACCTGTTCTCTAGTGCAGACTATAAACTGTTCTATTAGTCCAGACTATAGACTGTTCCACAATATAGACTGGTCTATAGTCCAGACTATAGACTGGTCTATAGTCCAGACTATAGACTATTCTATAGTCCAGACTATAGACTATTCTATAGTCCAAACTATAGACTGTTCTATAGTCCAGACTATAGACTGTTCTATCGTCCAGACTATAGACTGTTCTATAGTCCAGACTATAGACTGTTCTATAGTCCAGACTATAGACTGTTCTATAGTCCAGACTATAGACTGTTCTATAGTCCAGACTATAGGACTGTTCTATAGTCCAGACTATAGACTGTTCTATAGTCCAGACTATAGACTGTTCTATAGTCCAGACTATAGACTGTTCTATAGTCCAGACTATAGACTGTTCTATAGTCCAGACTATAGACTGTTCTATAGTCCAGACTATAGACTGTTCTATAGTCCAGACTATAGACTGTTCTATAGTCCAGACTATAGATGTCTATAGTCCAGGACTATAGACTGTTCATAGTCCAGACTATAGACTGTTCTATAGTCCAGACTATAGACTGTTCTATAGTCCAGACTATAGACTGTTCTATAGTCCAGACTATAGACTGTTCTATAGTCCAGACTATAGACTGTTCTATAGTCCAGACTATAGACTTTCTATAGTCCAGACTATAGACTGTTCTATAGTCCAGACTATGACTGTTCTATAGTCCAGACTATAGACTGTTCTATAGTCCCAGACTATAGACTGTTCTATAGCCCAGACTAACTATAGGATATTTTCGAGAAAAAAAATTTTGTAAAAAATTATCAAACAAATTCTTTTTTAATAGAAAAATATCTTTTTTATAAAAATATTTTCGAAATTCAATTTTTACAGAAAATTCGGAAATTTCTTTCTAGAATTTTGGAAAAGTTCTATTTTAAAGAAAATTTTCGAAAATTTCTCTTTTCTAGAAAAATTTCAAACACAATTCCTATTTATAATTTTTTGAAATTCCATTTTTTAAGAAAATGTTCTTTCTAAAAAATTTTCTTTTTATAAAATTTTCAAACTAATTCACTTTCTGTAGAAAATTTTCGAACAAAATTCTACTCAAATTATTTTATTTTATTTTTTTTTTTCTAGAAATGTTTCGAAAAAGTGTTAAGGATATATTTTTTTTTTTTTTTGTAAATTCTATATTTACAAAAAAAATAGATTAATTTTATTTTAATTTAATTTTTATACATTAATAAATTTCTTTCCCAATTTTTTTCTCTGTGTATTTTATTAAACCAACTAAACACAGCTAACGAAATGTCAAACAGAGCGTAAACCAAACAAAAACATTGTAAAAAATTTTTCTCATTAAGAAATCTAATGGAAAAGTTTTTGCCTTTTTTCCAATGAAAACAAAAGAAAAATTAAAATTTATTTAAAACAACTATTTAGAAAATAATAAAATTTTTATAAAATTAATTAAAACATATTTTCGAATAGAAATAACTTGATCTTAGACAACAAAATAGAAGTGAAAGTGCTAAAATCTGAATAAAAGAAAAAAGACCACAACAAAAAGTGCATAAATAGAAAAAATTTAATTATAAACTAGAGGTAAACATATAATCCTGTTAACAAGAAACTAATAAAGCAACAAAAAAAACAACCCAGCAAAAAAATTTGAAGTTGTTAAAGAAGAAGGGATATTTTCATGATTTCTTTTGTACGTATTCTATTTAATGCGTTTTAAATACATGCCTAAATTCTAAAAAATTTGTCATCAGTGAAGGCATGAAAAATGCACCCAAATTCACTCATGTAACTCCACTATAGGAATTGTAATATTTTACTATAATTTGGTATTCTCTTAGGAGATTTAACGAAAACGTGCATTTCATACAATAAATATTAAAAATTACATTAATTTTTTTATTAGATTTTTGTTTTTGTAGGTACCTACCTACCTAGTAATATTAAGTCCATTTTAACATTAATAAGAGAAGGAAAAAACCAAGACTGTTTAACGGATTTTAAAACACAATGGGTATTTTTCCTCTGCATGAATTTAAATCCAATAAAAATCAGTTAGTTATGTTTTATCTTTTTTTATTGTTATCAATATCACACAAAAAATTATTTAAATATTGATAATTAAATCGAAATACCATTATTAATGCATTTTTAAATAAATATAGTGCACCAATGAAAATTCGCTTGAGAATCATCGAATATTCATTGGTTATAAGAACTCATTTAAATGGCGAACTATTTTTCCAAATACGAACACATGCATGCCAATGACACGCTAATGTTAAAATCATGCATGTTTCCCCTAAATATGAACCAGTTCATTATCAGTTCAACCCATGCATTTACTACTTTTTTTGCACGTCTTTTTTTGCTGGGACCATTATTAATGCATTTTTAAATAAATATAGTGCACCAATGAAAATTCGCTTGAGAATCATCGAATATTCATTGGTTATAAGAACTCATTTAAATGGCGAACTATTTTTCCAAATACGAACACATGCATGCCAATGACACGCTAATGTTAAAATCATGCATGTTTCCCCTAAATATGAACCAGTTCATTATCAGTTCAACCCATGCATTTACTACTTTTTTTGCACGTCTTTTTTTGCTGGGAAAGAAAATATTAACCCTGACCTTGAATTTTTAGTACACAGTGAAGTGCTACCAAGGATATTTCTTCATTATACTTCTACAATTCTGAACATATTGTTATTGTGAAAAAAACAGAAGCCATAGAAGCATAACAAAGGTGGTTTCTTACGCCAGCTAATGATATCACCACCAACGCCAGCAAACGCTCCTATGTCCCTTTTCTTTGAGGTTTTTGAAAATTCATCAAAATTGTGTTTGGTTTGCATTTGTGGACACAATCCCAATCCTCTCCGGCTACCACGGTTGCCCGCACACGTAGCTGGTTTGGATTTGGATGCACACCAGAACAACTACTAACGCTGACAAAGTATTTACAGCGCTTGTGTCGGGCACATAGAAGTGAAAAAATGTCCTCCTCTCAGTCCTCTGCTTCGGCGGAAGATGATAGAAGATCGTCTGGCAATAAGTCAATAGCTGTTGATACCATAGTTAAGTTTCCCCACCAAAGGGAAAGAGACCTAGAGGTCTCTTTAGAGTCCGATGATGAATGTGATGTAGCTGGTGCTATGATAGATGTAGAAGGTTTCTGCTATGCCGACTATCGTATGGAACAATATGCTCATAGTGTTTTAGATTTTAGTTCACAATATGGCATAGATTTAAGTATATCCTATACGGCACCAAATATAACAGGCCGGCCCTCTAAGTATCCAGAATATGGTGATTTCCCACAAACTTTTGCCATGGTAAGTATTGGAGATTTATAGAGAGAAAACTTATTTACATTTTTTGTACTTTTTCAGCGCACCTATGGTGACTGGTGGGATCGTTCACCCTCTCGCTTACGTGAAATATCACCTCAAAATTTACCCAAAGTACCCGCTGAAGATTTTATAGTTTTGTACTTTGAAGACTATGTTATACCCGATGAAATTGCCATTTTTGAAACATTTAATCCGGGTGCTGTTATACGCATTTGGGCGTATACTATTGCTAAGACTTGGATTTGTTTGTGGGAGGATAATGACTTCTATACACGTCCTCCCTATGTGGCAAATCGGGCTAGACGTTTTGCACCACCTTTGAAACGTATACAATTACCAACAAAGTGAGTAAATTATTTTAAATTTATATTGGGAAAAAGTTTCTTAAAAATTAGAAATTTTGGTCAAAATTGAAATTTTCTATAAAGGAGAATATAAATGAAATATTAGTTCAAAATATAGTCCAATGTATATAAAAAGGGAATTTGTTCAAAAATATTCTAAAAAAATAATTTATCCGAAATTTTTTTATAAAAAGAGAATTTGTTCGAAAATTTTATATAAAAAGAGAATTTGTTTGAAAATTTTATATAAAAAGGTTGTGTTGGAAATTTTTCTAAAAAAAAAGATGTTCAAAATTTTTCAAAATGTTCTATTTCGATAACAGACGTTATTATAATTAATTAATCGATTTAATATTTTCTTTATTTAAAAGAAATTCCTTGCCATAAATTTTATTTGAAAGAAAATTTTTTGTTTCAACGAATATTTGAAAATAATATTTAAAAATTTTAACCAAATTTATTGTGTTCTTAAAAAAATTTTCCAAAAATGTTGAGAATTGTAAGAAAATTAAAAATATGCAAACTAATCAAGATTTGCCAACGACAAAAACGCTATTTTAAAAGAATTCGAAAACAAACCAAAAATTATTACAACAAAATTTGATTCCATGAAAAATAAGGATAACTCTAAAGACAACTATACATGTACTTCTCGGGAAAAGACTCCTTGTAAGAAACAATGCTCTGAAATTAATGAAAATTACATAAAATCTATAATACATATGTTACAACAAACTTATCCCAAAAACTTTGATGCACCACATTATCAGGGTAATACCCTAGTGGGTAAACAAAGGAGATGTTTTGCTCTAAAACAGCAAACAAATCACGTCCATAAAGTTCGTTCCAAGCCCAGTGTTACTTATCACAAAAACTCTTTAAAGAAAGTTCCAACAGTGATAAGGATAGTAAAGAGGCAAACTAAGGCAACTTCTACTTCAGATTTGAACCATAAAAATTGTGTTCTTAAATCTATTCTGAAAAAGGGAAGTGAAAATCATTCTACTGACAGAGAAACAGTTGTAAATGATATCGATAAATATCGTGTTTATGCCAGACAACAAAAGGAGCCGTTAGAAAACTCTTGTCTTTCTTCAAAGAAAACAAAAGAATTGGTTTCGGAGGGTAATACAACGTTAGCTAAAACCCAATTGGAAGAAGACAAAATTGTTGGTTTAACAGAAAGAAATGAAAAGCGAAAACTTCCAAAAAGAAAACATTTTTGCAAGCATAATGAACCAGATATTTTAATGGAAAATCTACGTAATGCTGTTATGCACAGTGTTCAAATCCTAATGAGCACACCTTGTCGTTACGGTAATTATTATTTATTATATTTTTTTTTCGATTTTAAATGCAATTTCATTGAAAAAAGATTGAAATTTGTTCATGATTTTACGAATATTTTCTATTAAAGAGAATTTGATTGAAACGTTAAAGGAGAAATTTAACTAAACTATAGTACGGACTATAGACTAGGCTATAGCCCAGACTGTAGACTAGACTAAATCATAGTCCAGACTATAGTGTAGACTATAGTCCACACTATAGTATAGACTATAGTCCACACTATAGTATAGACTATAGTCCACACTATAGTATAGACTATAGTCCACACTATAGTGTAGACTATAGTCCACACTATAGTATAGACTATAGTCCACACTATAGTATAGACTATAGTTCACACTATAGTATAGACTATAGTCCATACTATAGTATAGACTATAGTCCATACTATAGTACAGACTATAGTCCATACTGTAGTATAGACTATAGTCCATACTGTAGTATAGACTATAGTCCATACTGTAGTATAGACTATAGTCCATACTGTAGTATAGACTATAGTCCATACTATAGTATAGACTATAGTCCAGACTATAGTATAGACTATAGTCCAGACTATAGCATGGACTATAGTCTAGACTATAGTATAGACTATTGTCCAGACTATAGTATAGACTATAGTCCAGACTATAGTATAGACTAAAGTCCAGACTATTATAGACTATAGTATAGACTATAGTCCAGACTTTACTATACACTATAGTCCAGACTATAGTATAGACTATAGTCTAGACAATTGTATAGACTATAGTCTAGACAATTGTATAGACTATAGTCCAGCCTATAGTAAAGACTATAGTCCGGACTATAGTATAGACTATAATCCAGACTATAGTATAGACTAAAGTGTAGACTATAGTCCAGACTATAGTATAGAGTATAGTCCAGACTATAGTATAGACTATACTAAACAGACTAGAGATTAAACCAATGACCAGACTGTAGTTCAGAGTATAGTGTAGACTATAGAATATACTATAGTACAAACAATAAACTAGATTGTAGTTCAGACTATAAACTAGACTGTAGTCTAGACGTAAACTCAATATTCATGAAGTGGAGTTAGCACACTTTGCAGATAGCTTATAAAAAAAAAATATCAAAATTCGAAAAGAAAATATTTCATTTTATAAAACAAACCACAAAATTAATTTAATTTTAAAATTATCGGTTCTAAGAAAATTTTTTGTGTAAAAGAATAAAATTTATATTAAAATTTAACAAAAATGGCCACGAAACGGCGTCTCCAAAAGATTATCGAAAATAAAGAGCATACATTAAGAAAATTGCTCAAAGAAATCGAAAAATATGACAAGAAAATACCCTCAAAAGTACGAGAACATATTAAAGGATCCAAAAGCATTCAACGTATCAAACATAATATCGGAAATATGAACACTCACACTGAAAAGGATTTACTTAAAAATCAACAATTTCGTAAAAATTGCTACAAATACCTTTTGAAGACTATAGAAGAAATATATGCGAAAAATCAGAAATCAGAATGTAATATGGAAACTTTTGCGGAAAGAATTAAGGGATGTAGTAAAAAATTGGCGAAATTGAAAGGTCTTAAAGAAAACTCTGTCAGACGTTTAAAGAAAGAAGAAAATACTTTAAATATTACCATACCAAGTTTAAAACTGCATTGTTCTAATAAACCTAGTGTTTTATATCAAAGGAAGATTATAAAATCGAAACATCAGGTGCCTTGTTTTAGAAACGATACAACTAAACATCAATTAATATCAACTGTTGCCCTAAACAGAGATTCTAAAAGTCATTTTGATTTAAAGAAAACAAAAGTTATAAAAGCTTCCAAAGAAAGTATTCCAAGTTTGGATAAATATCGTGTTAAACCTAGTAGACTACAGCCCACGTCAACATCACCCTCTAAGGATTCTTTTATACCCATAAATATACCCAGACATTATAGCGAACAATATCATAACAGATCGAAAAACAATACTAGTCCATTGGGTCAGATATTTCAATATCAAGTACATTCATCCATGCAGAATATGAGGTCGGGCCCAGAAGAACGTTTAAATTATTTAACAGCAAATGTTCGCAATGCCGTTATGTTGGGTCATACAAAGAACTCTTCGTATGGCAAAAAGTTGGACAATGTTATTAAGAATTTAGTTCAATTAACAGATAGATATTAAAGAGTTTCTACAATCTTGGGTAAATAATTTATAATAAAAAAATTTTGGTTACAAAACAATTTGTAAGAAAAACAATGTTATTTTTCAAAACAAATTTGGAAATTTAAAAATTTGTACTTTATTACTCATAGTATGGGCTATAGAGGCAACAATAGTTCAGAATATAGACTGGGCTATTGTCTGAAATATAGTCTAGACTATTGTCTGGAATATATTCTCGACTATAGCCCAGACTATAGAAATACTACAAATCCTAAATATAGACTAGACTATAGACTAGACCATAGACTAGACTATAGACTAGAATATAGACTAGACTATAGACTAGAATATAGACTAGACTATAGACTAGACTATAGACTATACTATAGACTATACTATAGACTAGACTATAGACTAGACTATAGACTAGACTATAGACTAGAGACTAGACTATAGACTAGACTATAGACTAGACTATAGACTAGACTATAGACTAGACTATAGACTAGACTATAGACTAGACTATAGACTAGACTATAGACTAGACTATAGACTAGACTATAGACTAGACTATAGACTAGACTATAGACTAGACTATAGACTAGACTATAGACTAGACTATAGACTAGACTATAGACTAGACTATAGACTAGACTATAGACTAGACTATAGACTAGACTATAGACTAGACTATAGACTAGACTATAGACTAGACTATAGACTAGACTGACTAGACTATAGACTAGACTATAGACTAGACTATAGACTAGACTATAGACTAGACTATAGACTAGACTATAGACTAGACTATAGACTAGACTATAGACTAGACTATAGACTAGACTATAGACTAGACTATAGACTAGACTATAGACTAGACTATAGACTAGACTATAGACTAGACTATAGACTAGACTATAGACTAGACTATAGACTAGACTATAGACTAGACTATAGACTAGACTATAGACTAGACTATAGACTAGACTATAGACTAGACTATAGACTAGACTATAGACTAGACTATAGACTAGACTATAGACTAGACTATAGACTAGACTATAGACTAGACTATAGACTAGACTATACTAGACTATAGACTAGACTATAGACTAGACTATAGACTAGACTATAGACTAGACTATAGACTAGACTATAGACTAGACTATAGACTAGACTATAGACTAGACTTAGACTATAGACTAGTAAACTACACTATAGACTACATTTTTTATGTTATTTTCTCTTCTAAAGTCTTAAATACTTTTTATATATTTACAGGACAATAAGACTGGAGTTTAATCATCACGTCTTCACTATTACACCGAAATTGATGCAGTTCTATTAAATGGCAAAAAATTCAATATGAGAAATATGCAAACTTTACTAGACTACTACGAAAGACAAAGAAAAGGTATTTATTTGATTACCTAAGTATAAATTGCTAATTAATTCAAAATTCTAAATCCAACAGGTTCCATTTTATGTAAATTACAAAATATGAAATTTCGCCCCGTTTGTAAGGACAACTATCAGACACGTTTACAACATTTTCTAATGCATGATTTGGATAAATTTATGTCTGCCTTAAATGATGTACAAATCAACAACGACAACAGCAATAATACCGAAGACAGTGAAACAACAGGGAGAGTAGATTTAAAGGATATGCCGGTAAAGTATTTAACATAATTTTGAAATTATATGGAACTTTAATAAAACCTTCCTATTTTTCTTATTTTCTTTTATAAAACAGTTTGATATTGTTTTAAAAATCTTTAGCTATTTAGATTTAATCTCCCTGTTTCGTGTGGGTCAAGTATCGCGTTTCTTTTATGATGTCTCCACTCATCCTTTGTTGTATAGTGAATTGAATCTGAAACCTTATTGGCATTTAGCATCCACTGAATTACTTTCCACTTTGGCTAAGAGAGCAACGATTTTAAAGAAATTGGATATGTCCTGGTGTGGTTGTACCATACAAACGGTATCACCTACAGAATTTAAAAAGTATTCTTTATTATTTATTTAATAATTATTATATTTTTTGTGTTAATTATTTGTGTATATATTCTTTTAGATTTATACAACAACGTGGCGATTCTTTGACTCATATACGTTTAAATTCAGCCAAGTTTTTAAATGCCAGCTGCATAGAAACTTTAGGCATTGTCTGTGATAATTTAAGAGGTACATATTATTTAGTTAAAGAGTTTTTATTAAATTAGTTTTAATTTGTTGTTGTGCTTTTATTATAGAGCTTTCTTTGCGCAATTGCTCTATTAGTCCTCCTTTATTGAATTTCTCCTGTTTGGCTAATTAAAGAATTTGGAACGTTTGGATTTGTTTCAAACTGTCATTGAATCGGATTTGCTATTGACGATGCTGGAGAGTAATCCAAAATTAAAACATTTAAATTTGGGTGAGTTTTTAAGGATTTCTTATAGTTTCTATCTATCTATCTATCTATCTATCTATCTATCTATCTATCTATCTATCTATCTATCTATCTATCTATCTATCTATCTATATATCTATATATCTATTCGTCAATCTATCTATCTATCTATCTATCTATTATCTATCTATTTATCTATCTATCTATCTATCTATCTATCTATCTCTATCTATCTATCTATCTATCTATCTATCTATCTATCTATCTATCTATCTATCTATCTATCTATCTATCTATCTATCTATCTATCTATCTATCTATCTATCTATCTATCTATCTATCTATCTATCTATCTATCTATCTATCTATCTATCTTATCTATCTATCTATCTATCTATCTATCTATCTATCTATCTATCTATCTATCTATCTATCTATCTATCTATCTATCTATCTATCTATCTATCTATCTATCTATCTATCTATCTATCTATCTATCTATCTATCTATCTATCTATCTATCTATCTATCTATCTATCTATCTATCTATCTATCTATCTATCTATCTATCTATTATCTATCTATCTATCTATCTATCTATCTATCTATCTATCTATCTATCTATCTATTTGTCCATCTATATATCTATTTTTTTATTTTTCAGCATTTTGCAATGTAGCTGTTAATATGGATGATGTTGCTTTACATATTTCCCAGTATAATAAACAATTAGTATCCTTGGATTTATGGAAGGCACATTTTCTGTCCGCTCATGGTCTAATTGCCTTATCGGAATGTCATGATTTAGAAGAAGTGGATTTCGGTTGGTGGTAAGTTGAATCAAACTTTATAAACCCCTAATTGTTATATAATCCTAAAAAAATCTCTAGTTTACGTGAGGCTACTTTGGGCGATAGTTTAAAGGAATTTTTAACGAAATGTCCCAAACTAAAGAAATTGTTTTTAGCTGCTGTTCGTGGTTTAACCGATCGTGATTTAGAATATATTGCAAATTTATGTCCCAACTTGGAACAATTAGATCTAATGGGTGTTTTGGGTATATCCAAAGAAAAATATTATGAGTAAGTTTAAATTTATTTATTCAAAAGTTATAAACTATCATTTCTTTTCTTTATAAATTTCTAAGTATTTTACAAAAATGTAAAAAATTGCAATTAATGGATCTAAGTTTTTGCGATAATATAATGGATTATGAGGTAAGTTAAAATATTTACTACTTTTAATATAGATTTCCATTTTTTCTTAATTACTGTTAATTAATTTAATAAATATTGTTTTAATTTCAGGTGGCTATGTGGTCTCGTAATTTTAAAGTGAATATCAAGTGTTGTCATGTACCTAACGATTTTAGATAAGATTTTTACTAACAAAAAATTTCAAATAAAATATTAGTTAAATACATTTGTAACGAAATTTCTTTATAACCTATAAATTTAGTTTCTAAAAAAATGTTATTGTATGTAGTTAGTAAAAGAAATATAAAAATACTAAACTAAAATGTTTTTTAACTTCGCAATATTTTTAAATATCCTTATTATTGATAAAATCTACTGCCAATATTTTACAACTGTTATTTTCAGCGCTTTCTCTCCATTCAAATTCATTAAAATATTTTTTTATTTAATTTTAAATATCTTAATTATAACAGTAAATTTCTTCATTCACCTACTACTAATTTTTACAACTGTGTCAATTTATTCATTGACAATTCTCTTTGTCTCTTGCTCTCTTTTCATAAACAACTGTTAATCTATTACATTTCGTTACAAAAATTCTTTCAGTTCAGTTTTTTTGCGTGTACGAATAAGAACATCAATTTTTCCCAACACAAAATTGGATAAACAATAAAAAGTATTAAATAAATTCCTTAACATAAACACAAGTAAACAAATTGTTAATAATAAAAAACGTTTATGCAATGAATATATGAAACATATACGTTAAATTATAAAGTGTAATCAACCAAAAAGATTATCGGTGAAATTTTCTTAAGAAAAGAACTCGAAAAAATATAATTAAGAACAAAAAAGAGAAAAAAAGGCAAAATTGAAAAACGCACAGGTGAAAACAGAGAAGAAAACAAAATGTCAAAACAATTTATTTCGTGTTTTGTTATTGTTTTGCAAATTTACAGTGTTGCTCATTAAGTGTGTGCCGACAGGTGCCTTCTGGGGGGATTAAAAATAGTACCAATACCAAATTTATTTGTATTGAAATAACCATCATTTGTTTTGGATTTTTTGTGGTTGTTTTAAGGGATTATCTTTATGTTACCTGTAAAATTACAGATTTTTGTGTTTTTAATCTGTGGGATTGTGTTAAATTATAGGTGTTGCCAGGTATTCATACTACAAAAAAGGGGAGTTTATGAAAATTTCATAGAATATGATATATTTTAATTGAAAAAAGAAAATTCTGAACTAAATGATGTAAAATATTCGTCGTTTTATTGACATCATTTCCACCAGAAGTTAAAATTATACATATATTTGTTATTTTTTAAGTTTTCTTATAAAAATAATTTTAATGGGCAGAATACCGGTTAAAAAATAAACCTTAATTATCACACGTGAAAATTAAGTCACAAGTTCTTTCGAGAAGTTTCCGATTTAAAATCAATAAAATCGTTCCATATATAATGGTGATATGAGCAATAACCCTAAACAAATCATGATTAGCTTTCTTAAAAAACTCTATTAACTATTTCAACATATTTTGTCACATGGTTCAAAATTATTAGAATCGATGCGCCCGCAAAAATTCATATACTCTAAAAATGGATTAATAACTCCCTCTAGAATATCGCTATTACCACAAAATTTTGCATCTGTACATATATCTAATATCAATAGTAATTGTATGACCAACTGGATCGATCAATAACAGATCATAACTCCCATATAAGGTCCACTTTCGGAAATCAATTAAATGAATATACAAATTATTTAACGAACAATTTTCCGGATCGGCTTCTGAAAATCAATTTATTGTAAATAAATCATGAATTAATAACGATATCGGAATATAATTGGCATATATGAAAACCATTTTTGAAATTTTTATACATATTCGTTGTGTTAATAAAAAACTAGCTCATAGGTGAAGAAAGAATTTTAAAAATAAAATATTGACTACATAATCATTATTCTAAGCTCAAATATAATAAAAATATTTTTCTGCTCCTTTCAGGCCAGTGTGTTAACTCATATATCGATTGCAAATTATTTAATATTTAAACATGCATAACTCCTGTATTTCATGGGTTAGGTCCCTCAAACACTTATCCAAACACTGTATTCAAAATTTAATGTGATACAATTTGTCCCTGGCTCTCAATGGATTAATGATTTGCTTCGTAATAAATATGATTTGAAAGCGGTTTCAGAGATCTTTCGATTGATATCCATATTGACTATTTCCGATAAATAGTAATAGAACTGAATAATTGCATATGATAAAAATCAATATTTTCTTAAATATTAATCTTTAAACATACATAACTTTCGCATTTTATGAGTTGGGACATTCAAACATATATGGGTTATTGATATAGATTATATTATATATCAAACGAGAGGTTTTTCAGAGAAATTTCGATTGAAACTCATAATAGTTGAGATATGACCAATTCTATATCAAAACTGGGGAAACCTATGACTTGTGCATCTGATTATAGGACAAAAACATTTTCGATTTTTGTGGTCAGACGAAAAAGGACTATCATGTGTTATCATGACTGTTTTGCGCAAATATTTATCTATTTTATTTTATAAAATTTGTCATATTTTCTAATAGAAAAGTACAAAAATCCTTTTTAACAAAAAAAATTCCCACTAAATTTCCACTTTTTTACCCTCTACTCATATTTAGTACTAAAACAATACAACCCTGCAAGGCCGACGTACGAATGACATTTCAAATGTACAATATCCCAATTTTTTTTATTCTGCTGACTTCGTTTGTCCTACCTTTTCTCTTTAGACAAGTCGTTTGAGGAATTTCACTGAAATGCGTTGCAATTTCAATAAATTTTTATGCAAAAATTGCTATTGAACGGGAATAAATAGAAATAACTTGAATAAAGTGTGCTTAACAATAATAAAAACTAAAAATCAATAGCAAATAAATGAAAAACTAGTGAAAAAACCGAAACGTGGTAATACACGAATAAAAGCAGAAAAAAATTAAAACAGTTTTTTTTTTAACTAAATTTGGTATAAAACAAATTGAAGTGAAGAAGCAAAAATTCAGAGAACGAAAAAAAGAGTCAATTGAGTGAGCCAAATAGCAGAAATAAGAAAAAACGAGCGAAGAAGTGCAAAAAAAATTAAAGAAATATCAGAATAAAATCAGAAGTGGAGTTATAGAAATAGAACAAATAGAAAGAAGAATTCTTTTGTTTGTTCGTTGCCAATTTTGCAAAAATTAAAATTCAATAAAATAAACGGGTCATAGTTACAGTGCGTAAGAGTATTTCCTTTTTAGCAAAGAAAATTGTAACAAAAAAAATAATGTTTTAACTTAAGAAGCAAATTATAAATGAAAATATTTAACTTCTCAAATTAAAGCCAAGTTCTTGTGTAAACGGCCGTGGCCAGTTTTGCTTAATTTTGTCATTTTTTTACACATTTCTGGGAACACGCCTTTTTTTAATATTTCGATAATTAACGAATGAATATCTTTAGTGCATTGCTTCGTTTCATAATTAAAATTTTTATATTTTGTGATGTGTTGATTTGTTTCCACTAAAAAAAAATACTAAATCATATTAAAACTTGTTCTAAAACTGCTAAACCAAATAAAACAACAACAACAATAATAACTACAGCAAAAAAACTAAAATTATTTGACGTTAGTGTAGACGTCGACGTTAACCGTCACCTTCATACACAACAGCAGCAACAACAACAACAACAACCACTACAAAATAACATTGCAAAGCAGCAACAAAATTATCAAAGCAGCAATCACAACAACAACAGCAAGAAAAAATACTGCCGTTTGCTAACTAACTAATAACAACAATAATAATAAAAAAAAAAAATAGAAAAAATAAAACAAAAAGAAAAATAGAAACAAACCTGTCAAAAAAATAAACGTCATTTAAACTTGACTTTTTTAACAACAAACCGAGCGCACTACAACCAAAACAATTATAATTCCAACAAAATGGATGAAGATGACAATAATTTGGACAACAATCGAGCTATTATAAGTGGTGGCGAGGAAGAACCTCAAGAAGAAGAATTTGATGATGACGATGATTTACTCGACACCATAGAAGTAACGGTGACCACAGATGGTGCACCCTTACCACGTGATGACAACGAAGATATTGAAATAATAAATTTATCACCACAACAAGCCGAACAACAACAACAAGCAGCAGGCAATTTGGCGGCCGCTAACACTACTCACGACAATACACATGCTCCTGCGTTACTCAATTTTAGTGAAGATTTGCATAATGGGCCTTGGGATAGAGATGAAATTGAGGACTCTATTATGGCACAGTCATATGTTGGACCTTCCACCTCTTCACGAGCAAATGCTTTAATTTCAGTTATTTCCTCCTCCTCGGCTAATAGCGCTGAGGGAGCGGCAGCAGCCAGCAGTAGTGGTGGTGGTGCAGTTCCCAGCTATTGTTTTGATACCTCCTCATTTTGTTCCCGTACACGCAAAGAAGTTGCTGCTCTCATTGTGGCTGAATGTTGCAGTGGTGGACCAACACCCGATTTGAATTACATTATGGATAGATTTTTTAATCCCAGCACACCGATCGATAATCCCGATAATATTTCATGGATACGTTGGCTCATTGCTGGTGGCCGTACTATAAGCGATTTTGTGAAAATTGGTAAGTAGATAAAAATTTATTAAATTACTATATAAATTATTGTTTTTAATTAATTGTTTGCGACGAAACAAATGTTGTATGAAATTTACATTTCAAATTTGAAGTATGTAGTTGGATTATCTTAAACTTGGTGTAAAAAACAGGTCTTTTTAAAGACTTTAAAGGGTAGACCCTGAAGCTCTATGGTTTAAAAGTTTGGAAGGGATTTCGTTTTTTTTTATTTAAAAATTTAATTAATTTATTGGTCTATTTAACGAATCCAATGAAAATGTTTAATTTGAATACATAAGAAAACGTCGAGGATGAATTTTTATTTACGACTCTGTCGCATACAGTTGACGACGTCTGAATGTTAAAGCATTGGAAGTCCATCCCCATCCCAGAGAAAACTATTTTTAAAAACAATTTTTTTTGTATAAATTGTGCATTGAAAGTTCGTTCAACATATTATGAGTATCTGCTACAAGAACAGTAAGGGTTGTTTTCCCGGTCATTTGACTGAAACTATTGATGGAATTATCCGTCATTGGATAGGAAAAAGTCTCTGTTAAGTTCTAAAAGGCAATATGAAAAATTTGATAAAAACTTATTTGTACGTTTGACAATAGTGGATCTTTCCATCAATAGGGTCAGTCAAAGAATCTTGTAGGGTTGTGTCTGTGTTAAATTATGTTCACATATTTGAAAATTAAAAAAATAGGGTTGTTCTCTAACTGAAACCAGGAAAAGTGCAAATCTGGAATAAGCGTACAGACCAATTTACCTCCCGCCACCCATTGTTACAACAACATCTGGATGTAGATCTGGATGCTCATTATCAACATGGATTCTGTCTAAACAGAGCACAACAACAAAAGTTTTAAAACCGCCATCACAATACAATGTTGCCACAGCCTTAATCAAGTCCGACCATGTCATACGGACGGAGCAGTTCCCACTGGGATGTCATCAGAGAAGCTATCCCAACCATCCAAATGATAATTGAACAAAGACAAGAAAATGTTCGGTATAGTGTGAGATTATCAAAATTTGAACGGTAGACTTGTATTATAGAATTTTCCAGAGCCAGTAGTTATAATATCTTTCTACACGTGCGACCAGAAACGAAAAGGAGCTGCTCAAGGGAATTTGCATACACAAAATGTCAGAAGCTCATTTCTAAATAAGGGCCCTTATTTATAACAATTTATCAAAGGTTTATAACAGAGTTTTTCATACAAAATTCTATAAACCTTTGATAAGTTATGAATACGGCAGAAGGTCTATAATGATCATTTAGAAGAAATTAAAGAATTAAGAGTTAACCAACATTTTAGTTAGAGTCCAGTTTGCAAATATATATTTACTTTAACATTTCGGCAAATATCTAAACTTTTTTCACAATTAAAAACATGATGTTATATTTGTATTTTTTTTTTTCATTTCATTTCTGTCAATGAAATTGTTTTTTTTTTTTTATTTGTTATTGTCATTATTATTGTTGCACTTGGCATTTGGCCATAAAACACAAGCCTACACTAAAAAATGCAATAGAAACAATTACAATAAGAAAATGCAATACAACAACAACAACAACAAATTAACAGCAACAGAAAAAACAAATGAGGCAACAATATCACATACTGTAAAGAAAATTACAAATAATCTGTAAAAAGTGTAGAAAAGCACAAAAATACACAGAAAAATAAATAAAATGTTGATGTTTGAATTTCACTTTATTAACGATGACGTCAGCATATTAATAAAACATTATACTCGGCAGATTTAAGTCAATGCCCTGGCTAGAAATATTTTCGTACATTTGTAATTGCAAGACGAACAAAAAACTGAAATAAAAAAATTTTTAAATGAAATTAGTAATTTCGCATATTTGTTAAATATGATCAAATTATATTTAATTGTTTTCAAAAAAGTGATTAATGTTGTTTTTAAAGATTGACGGGTGCACTAAAAGTGCAACTAGGATTTGAACTTTTTGTGTGTGATTGTTAAGGATCTATGACGAGCTGGAGGAAATTTCAAGACTTAATACCAGCAGTTTTATCAGGGGAATTAGTCATTTCTTCAAGTAGGTTTTATAGGGAGACTCAGATTCACTCACATTTCTTTCTTTAACGAATCGATTCGGTAAATATTTTGATTTGAAACCCTTGTTGAATTAACCGTTTCTATTCATCTATCCTCTTTAACTATGCTTTTTCATGAGTTTCTCGAATTTTGTTTCTCTATCTTTGGATCTTCACTTTCTATGAAGGGAATCACAATGGACCTTATGGTTTCCGAGTAAAGTTTAATAGAGGTTCTTCTTAATCTATCCTATGTAGTTTCAGAATATAAATGTTCGAAAATTCGAATTTTGTTTCGAACATATCTTAAGATTTTAAAATATTCTAAATTCTCTATGTCTTATTATCATCCAGAGTGTACATACAAAAAATCTATTAACTATAGTAATGTATTAATAATATTAGCAAATAAATACATTTTCTCTATTTATAAATTATAAATAATTTATGATGAAACGTTTAAAAATAACATAAAACAAATCATGTTTGTATTTACAACTTTAATTTACACAAATTACAGCAAAATGAATATATATTAAATATATCTATCTCTATATATGTCCAATATATTTTTACCACAAAATGTTGGTTAACATTGACGTTTTGTTGTTTATTTGCTGCTGTATTTACATCTACTGCTGCTGCTGGGATTCTTCATTCAGACTCTCTTTTGTCAGCATTGTATAGAGTTTATTGACCAATACACAACACAATGTTGTTGTTGTTGGACATTAATTGTATGTCATCATTGTTGTCCTCTACAGCGTCATTGCGGTAACTTTGAATGAATGAATAAATATTGTGGATTCGAGGCAACAGAATGTATGAATGAATTAATGTCCATTTTTAATAAATTATTTAACTTTGTGATTGCATTTACTTTACTTTATTTATATATTTTTAAGTTGAATCATTTAAGGTTTTATTTTATTTATATCTGATTGAAGATTATAGGTTCTATGATTTGATAATCGATTAAAGATTATAACAATGACCTTATTTTTTTTCTAAAAAAGTTAATGTTTGTATTAGACAAATTGCAATTAGTTAATTACAAAACTATTTAAGGAATATTAAATGTATGTGTTTTTGTTGAATATAAAAAAAAAACATGTTTTCGATAATTTTGGTATTAAGCTAATTGTAGTTTTAGAACAATTATATTTTAATAGGTAATTGTTGTTGTTCTAATGGTTCATATTAAGTGAAAAGTTACATATTTTCATAAAAATATTAAATTAATTATTACAAT